GATATGTGCACGTCCATGTCCATGTCAGTGGCAACGAATAGTGATACTATTAGTAATAACAATAATTGCAGTAGCTCTGGCAGTAATACAATTGTAGAGTCATGTGAAGATGACTATGAAGATGGCGGGGACGTTGTCGAGGATGACGTGAACCGTGAAGATGCTATTCGTTCGTTGAATTCAGTGATGAATTTTATTCGTGGTGGTTATGACGCCTCTGGTGATCCTACAACAAGCGATTGCTGTGGTATGGGCGCGGGTACGGTTGGTGGATTGAGTAGTACAAAAACCCTCAAATCTCAACTAATGACACCGAATGGTATCGAAATGATCGTAGCGTTAATGGACGATGCGTTCGGATTGCATTCAACCGTATTGCAAAGAACCCAGAACCATTTTCATGTTAGCGAAGAACCGTCGACGACGAATATAAGTGAATCAGAACAAGAGACTAGCTGTAAGCAACAAGCCAGCAGCCAAAATGCAAATCGTGAGCTGAATTTGAATTTGCAACAACAAATCCGTGCAACATATAGTAATTTAAGTGGTATTCTCAGTGAAACTATTGGGAAGGTTAAAAGTGCAACAGCTAAAGGACTGGAACTGACCAAAGGTGGTGGTTTATCATCGCAAAAAGAGTTGCTGGCTGAACGAAAGACTTCACTTGATTCGTGGAGTCGACTACTGAGAGTAACAGCTGCTCACTGGTTCATACGTACGCATCTGGCTCGTTCTGGATCTTTGCTCAAGTTACTTCAGCAGAACGTTGATCACGTTCGCGGTGATCAGCATGGTCAGCATGAAGGCGACAAAATTGGTTCATCGGACGGATTCAGAGTCCCTCTTAGCGACGATCATCAAACTGAGACTGATTTAGCAAGTTTAGAGACGAGCCCGGCTATTATAAAGCGTCTTCGTGCACATTCACTATCCGATCCGATACTTAAACGTCGTTTAAGCAACATTGATAGCAGCAATTCCAGCAGTGACTCTAATGAGTGTAACGCCTTGGATGATGCTGAGAAAGTGGATAAAAATGAAACGAGGCAATCAACGATGCATGAGAAACATTTGAGGATGTTTCAACGACTGAACACGACAGCAAAAGAACCATCGTTGGGCTCTTCATCAAGCACAATTGAAACGATTAGTCCTCTAAATGAGTCACTTTTATTGTCACATAACAATACCCAAAACGCTCCTTATGGGAGGACTACGGTTATCCACAATAAAACAAAGAAAAGTACGAATGATCAACTAACGAGACCAAAGAGTGCTGTTAGCATTCTTCAAATGTATGCTCAAAGTATGGTATCTACAGCATCTAGTTCTGGTTTGGAACAGCCCTTTGAAAGCGTCGTGAATAAAAATGTTTCGGAGATGACTGGTAGGGATTTGGTGTGCCAAAAAAGATACATTCATCAACGCAAGCCAAGCACCTATACGATCTATTCATTCGTGGAGCCAAGACGTCTACCTGATGCCTATTCGTTATTTCATCCTCGAACGCGTTTGACCAGTGGTGAGAAGCTAGCGCATGCATGTGCGAAGAATATGATTGAGGTTTGTCACTTCGCCATTAGATCATCCTGATTTTGACTCTCGAAAATTTGATGCAG